AATTTTATGAGCTCAAGGACTCTAACACTTACAACTATAGTACACACAATAGGTGCTCAATAAACAAATTTTTTTTTTTTTCTTTTTTGCCCCACAGCTTGCTTGTAGGATTTCAAGTTCCCTGACCAGGGATCAAACCTGGGCCCTTGGCAGTGAAAACACAGAGTTCTTAACCACTGGACTGCCAGGGAATTCCCTAAAACTGTTGATTATTTAATGTTTTGACAAAGTCTATGAGACAAATAAACATAAATCAAAGCAATTTTTCCTACCTCATCATTAACATATAAACCTCCCAATATTAAAATCTGTAGGTCTGTTCTTCCTCAGGATTTCATGTCACTATTCCATTTTTAGACATTTGTATTTGTTTAGGATATAAGCAGGACATTTAGAAAAAGAATCAGCATTTAGAAAGAGAAGATAACACTCTGATTTACCTGGAAGAGAAAGTTTACTAGAGAAATAGCTTGATTGATCAGGGTACAACAGACAAAAACTCTCACCAGAACAGGTGAAAAGAAAATCATAGGGAAAGAGGAAGGTATCATGAAATGTGATTTGGAGTTCTTTCTGGGTTTTGTATATTTCTGACAAGGGTAGGGAGAGCAGGATTTCACAGAAACAAGATGAGATTCAAGGTTTGCAAGATACCGATGAGCTGAGATTTCTATCACTGGTGGTTTCCAAAGTGTATAACATCCTAGCTAGCTAATCTAAGAGTAGTAAAATTTCATGGTGAGCTTTGATGCTTCTGGATGAGATTGTTGGAGTGGGGAGCAAGGTGAACCCATCACAATCTAAGGACAGGCAATAAGTGTGCAGGGGAAAGTAAAAGTTTTTCTCATTGTAACAAAAGACTACAATGAGGCAAACAGTGATGACAATGAGCTAGGATACTAATGGATAACAAAGCATAGTGTACAATTGTTTCAATATTTGTATATCATCTTCAAAAAACTCATAATGTCTATTCAGGTCTTTTGCCCACTTTTAGACTGGGTTTTCTTTTACTGTTAAGTTTTAAGAATTCTTTACAGATTCCGGATACAAGTTGCTTTTGAGATATATGATTTGCAAATATTTTCTTCCATTCTGAGGGTTGTCTTTTGCATTTTTTTGACGGTATCATAAAAAAACTATGAAGCACATAGTTATTCATTTTAATGAAGTTAAATTTGTCTAATTTTTTATTTTATTGCTTGTGCTTTTGGTGTCATAGCTAAGAAACGATTGGTTATGAGTTTTTTGATGTGTTGACTTGGTTATGCTACAATCCCAAGTTATTCAATTAACAGTAATCTGGGTGTTACTGTGAAGGAAATTTGCTGATATAATTAACGTTCCTAAACAGTTGACTTTAAGTAAGGGAGGCTATTCATTTGGAAGACCTTTAAAGCAGATCTTTAAAGAGAGAGAAGTAATTATGGATGAAGCTCCCATGGAGAGGGAAGTAATTATGGATGACAGCTTGGGCCTGTGCTGGTAGAGCTTCATTTTGCTCTTGCTTTTGCTTTCCTGATGGCCTGCCCTATGAATTCAAATACACGGAACCAGCCCTCATCATTGTGTAAGTCAATTCTTTAAAAAAAAAAATTTAAAATGACATCAACATCTGTATCTATATCTGTATCCATATCTTTATCTATATAGATATAGATATAGATGTACATATGTGTGTGTGGTAGATAGACATTTCTATTGGTTCTGCTTCTTGTTGAACCGTGACTAATATGGATATAGTATTAAATCTTATCACAGGATAGTGCTTCCCTATCAATAAATTCTCCTTTTTCCGGCCTTATATTCTGCACCACTCCCTATCCCCTCGCCCCCCGCCATCCCAGCATTCTCAGAATCTATTCCTATATATACTTTCTCTGTTTCTGTTGGAATGTGCTGGTTAGGTCCTGGAGGTCCTTCAGCATATACTACTTTCTTCGTCCTCCCCCTCCCCCTCCCCTTCTTCCTCCTCCCCCTTTGTCTTGCAAGATAGATACCTTTGTGTGATTATTAAGCAAGAGGGGGCACACACTTTTAACAGTGAGGAGAAGCCACTTCTGCAGGGAAACCTGGGAATTTGATTTTTGAGTACATTAACCCATATAGTCCCCTCCTACCTCTCAGGGTCCTACACCTTTTCAACCAGAGCCTGGACTATGGTGACCGGATTTGCTGTGGCTGGGAATTCCATCTTCTCTGGGGCTCTGCCCATCTTCCACTCTAATTATGGGTTTAATACTCACCTTTTCTGCCCTTCAGCTTTGATTGATGAATATCTCTTTACATTCTGCCAAAAATGTCCCCTAGCTTTTATGTTTTTTTTTTTAAGTTGGTAATCGGTCAACCTCAAACTTTCATTAACTTGTCCAGTTAACTGAGTTTCGAGAAACGGTCATCCAAAATCATAGTCCTGAACCTCTCAGTTACTTGATCTAGTGTCCCAGCAGTGCATTTCCTTCCACCAGTATTTCATCCCAGGTCACCATCTATAACAATTTTAACTATTGCACCACTATAGCATGCCACATTAGCTATCAGTGTCTAGCAGTGTCAGGATTCTCATCTCCAGCCTGCCCACAGGTGATCCAGTCCAAAATCCCACTTTCGATTTTGCTTGGAAGGACCATGACAAACCCAAATTGTGTGAGGTCGGATACCTTAAAATTGACTCTGAAGCAGAGATCTGTGTAAAGGAGGTTATTGGGAGGACTTTCTGGAATAACACCAGTAAGGGAGTAAGAAGCAAGGTTGGGCAGTGAGGTGGGGATTCGGATTTCAACCCAGGGATTTTGGGGTGACACAAACATTCAGTCCATAACAGGGGGTGAGGCTTCTACATTCAAAGTGGTAAAATGATGACACCAATAGATCTTTGTGGTGATGATATAAATCTATATCTTGATTGTGGTGGTGGTTACAGGAATCTACCCATTACTATTGCTATGTCTGTGAAAAAACAGCATAAGAGTATACACACATTGTAGCAACATTGATTTTTCTGGTTATGATATCATATTAATCATTCCGTAAGACGTAACCGTTGAGAGAAAATGGGTGAAAGATGCATGGAACCTCTCCGTACTATCTTTGAAATACCTGTGTATCTATAATTATTTCAAAATAAAAAAGTTTTTTTTAAATGGGAAAAAAAAAAGATTGGGCAGTGAGAGAAGCTGAGCTGCCTTACACAAAAAGGCTTCAGATGTGGCTGTAGGGAGCTCTATAGCTGGGGCGGCATTTTAGAATTGTTCTGAATTTTGTCCCACATTCTAATGGGGCCAAGACTTTCTAGGCCATTATCAACCATTGTTTGGGTAGAGGCTGTCTCTAAAGAGGATTTCAACTTTGGACAAGGCTGCAGCTTTCCCCAGAAAGCAATTTCTGGTGAGGGAGTTGGCTATGAACAACCAGCAGCCAATATTCCCAGAGGCTAAAGGAATGAGTGCCTTTCCTGAACGTAGAAGGGAAAGATTTGGGCAGCACACCACAGTATCTGCTCCATCACACTACCATCCATCCAACTTTCAGGCTCAAAACCTGGATTCTTTTCTCTCACATCTCACATCCAATCCATCAGAGTCAACTTGATGGGACATCCCCTATACAGCCTGAATTTTTTCACCTGTCACCATTTCCACTGCAAAAATCCACATATTATATATCATTTTCCTTTATCTGGACAATAATCCTCCAGTGGTTTTCCCTCTGTAGCCTCTTACCATTCTATACTCCATTTTCTTCAACACAGAGTTGATCTTCTGAAAATATAAAACATATCGTATTTTAACACCTTCCTATTGTTTCCTATCACAAGTAGCATAAAACTGATGCTCTTCACCATGGCCTATTCTAATAAATAACAGTCACCATGCTTTGAGTCCAGAACCTGCTGATTCATTACATTCATTACCTCATAAAATCCTCAGGATAGCCCTCACAAATGCTGTTATTGTAACTACTTTACAGATAAAGAGATTATGTCTTAATGAGGTTGAATGACTAGCCCAAGGTCACGTAGCTGGGAAGTCGTGGGGTCTGGATTTCAACCCAGTGCTGTTGGATTCCAAAGCCCTACTGTACCTGTTCTTAAAATGTCTACTTATGTAAAAATTCCAAGCTCTTGCCTTCAGTTTAAACAAACATTGTTTTGGCTTCTCAGATAACTTCCTCACCTATGAAATCATCATCATTATTAGGAACTCATTTATTTCTCAAAACAAAGTATTCAGTAAATTTGATTTAATTTTGTATTTTTTCCTCATAGAATATCGGGAAAATGATTGGGAGGGGAGCTAATTTCAGATGGGAAAAGTAAGATCTAAGGTGGTCAAGTGACCAGTTAAAGGTAACAAAGTTAGCCAGTTCTGGGATCAAGAATGGAAGTATGTCACTAACCTCTGACCAAGGACATTTCGTACCTTGGCTTCCTGCCCCTCGTGTGGGAGTTTCCTGATGGGAGTGCTGCCTCCACATGTTCAGCCACTCCCCAGTAATACTCTGGAGAAATGCTTCCAGACAATAGTGGAGGAAACTGGGACCCTAGGAGAAGCAGTCTGAAGGACAGCATTGTCTAATTTGGAGCTTGGGCAGCGGCTGGAGGGCTTGTGAGCTCTTCACCCAAGTGCAACTTGAAGTGACTGCCATCTTTGTGCAGTTGAGAACATTGAAACCTAATGTCTCGTTGCGAAAGCTTGGTCTGGAAGTGAGAACTCATCCACATATTTAACTGAAGGTTAAACCTGGGTCATTGTAGTTACTGGAAGTATTGAAAGATGGAGAAATTGACATCTTTTTGTGTTCTTTGTCTCTTTGGCAAAAATGTCCCAACACTGCATGTAAATAATTACAAATAAAACAAAAGTCAGAAAAGTTGCTAGTTAATATTTAATGACTAGTTCAATATTTAATGACTAGTTCTCTGGCAGTAGTGCACATTCCAAAGATTTCCCATCCAGTTGTGTTTATTATACTGCTATAAACTCCAGCAGGCTTAGCTTTCTCTGAGCTCAGAGCACACTTCAAGAGCTAATATTTCCCCTACCTGAGAACTTTAAAAATGGTCTAAAAATCCATAGCCAGATACTATATGTTGGTGCCTTGATGTTGTTTTTAACTGAGAGAAGTTAGCAGCAAAAACCATCTTCTTGTTTATTACTGAATGGATTGTGGGAATATCCACCTTTGCCAGCTTCATCAGAGAAGGGATCATACGTGAAAAGAGGCCAAATCACTTCAAAACTTGGTACGCAAGCTATTTGTTTCTGGAAAATTAGGAAAATAACCTGAGCTTAAGGGAAACGAAAAAGCTCCACAGGCAAATTTGTAAATTGTAATATTCTGACAATATTTCTTTTAAAATACAGATACTGAGACTTATTAAATAAATAAAACTAACATTTTTGTAGGTGTTAGTGTAAAGAATACTTCACATTTGCTATTGCATTTGACCCTGTTAAGTTTTCAAGGATTCATGAAATTCTAGAGTCACAAGTAGTACCACTCTGAGTTATGTCAGGAATAGGAAGTATTGGTGCTTGTATAGAGTAATAAAACCACTGAATCTTTTCCCAAGGAACTTCATACTAGTCTTGTATTCTTATAACAGCTGAGTTAGCCAAAGGATTTTTTATTTCAGTTTTATTAAATAGTACTGGGTCAGGGTTATCTATTTCTAAATGAATATACTGTATGTACACAAAACCACGCAGTGTATAGATCAAACCTTTAATTAGTAATTAGCAAAAGAAAATCTATAAGCAAATGATGTGGTTTATGGGAAAAAACTTCAAGTCACAAATCAAGAGATGAGAGTGCTTTTGAGAGTAACAATAACAGCAGCCTGTATTTATCTAGCTTTTAGTTTGTGCCAAGAACTGTTTTAGGCTTTTTCTATATTGCCCATCTAATCCTTGTGACCACCCTCTGGAGTAGATACTGTTGTTAGTCCTGTTATGCAGAAGAGGACACTGGGGGATTGAGGGGTTAAGAACTTGCACAGGGTGTTGAACTTTTAAGTGGAGTTGCTGGGATTCAAAACCTAGAAATCTAACTCTGGAGCCCAAGCTATTAACTCCTCTGCTAAATTGCCTTTTGATTAGCAACACTACCTTCGCTAAGTGAACATGGTCTTTATTTTATTTTCCCAGTCTATTCAGATGATCTGATACCCGCCATTGCTACTTCCGCAAAGTTGTTTTCAAGGTTAACTGAAATAGTATATTTAAAAGCACTTTAAAAGAGAATGTGCTCTTCAAATATGAGGTGATATTATTACATTGTATACAATGGTTAGTTACTCAGAGCAATGGTCCATGAAATGGTCAGCCATGAGTGTATTTGGTATACTAATAAACTGAACCACTGAGATAGGCTTCTAGATATATACACATTAGTTCTTCCCAGAATTCATGAGCAAGTCAAGGCTCAAACTGCCTCTGCGCACAGTTATTTGGAGATACACAGACATATTTCTGGAAACAGGGAGGAACTGCTGTAATTGTTTGCACATGCAGACATTGTCTCAAATACGATTTCGCTATTTCAGAGATTCCCTTGTCATAACTACCAAAATGACACAAGCAGTACTTTTTTTGTAATCTCCATATTTGACGCATGAAAGAAGACTTAATTCCTGTTTGAATAAACAACATAATAAGGTTATTGAGATTAGAGACCATTACTATATAAAATTATGTCTAAGTGGCAGATATAATTAACATTGGATTGTAATTACACTAATTACAAGTCACATTAAGACACTCCAGTAATGACAAAGTGAGAACCCTATAATTGAATGGAATAAGTAGGGAAACATGCTGCTCACACTAATTACCTAAATGAGCTAATATGTCTTCAGAGTGACAGTCATGCTCAATGTTATTACGCAGACAAGGCAACTGAGTGAGGTATTTAAAAAATATATATATATATATTTTCTAATTTTCTTTCTTTATTCTCTCCAGGACCTATTTCAAGTCATCAGCAGCTTCAGAATTTTTCTCCTGAGCCAAAGAAAACAAAAATTGCAATTAGAGGTTTCTCTAGCCTTGTTAAAGAAGAGCACATGTAACAGTGATCCATAAACCCAGGTAAGATTCCAATCTCAGTGTATATGGAACACACTGAACACCAGTTGGTTTCTTGAACTGGGTAACGTTCTCCAATTTCTCCTCTGTCCTGGCTTTCCCAGCTTACCAAGTCAAGTAACGATAGCTCACCATGTAGTTTGCAGCCTTGAGAATCATCGGATGGGGGTTCCAAAGTACCAAATATGGCTTCCAGCAGCCCAGCTCCAGAGAAATCCTGGAGAGTGATAAAACCTGAATTTTTCAAGGCAATTAGGACCAGCACCATACTGGAAGCCACATTTTAGCCCAAGCTGTTAAGTGGGAATATAAACTAATAGTATCAATAGAATATGAATTCATGGCACTGTGAAAATCATTTATATTTTGTTGTTTCTTTTCCCCCCCTCACATTACCTTTCCTTTATGTACCTCTAACTGTCTGGGCACTAGTTGGGTAAGAAAGGAAACTAAAAAAAAAAAAACAAAAAACCAGACTACAGCTATTTAAAACCTTTCTTTGAAAGGAGAGATTTCTTTTTTCTTTTCTTTCTTTCTTTTTTTTTTTTTTGAGGCAAGGAAGTCACAGTATGTGGAAAATAGAATTGACGCACTTAAACTGGTAAACGATGATGAATGCAGCTTTTCTTTCTCTGTGTCAGTGAAGAAAGGACACTATGTGAGGCGTGCCTTTGTTAGTGGGGCTTTGGAACTGGTTCTGTCCATTCCTCTTATCCTTGTATTAACACAAATGAGATTTCCTTCTTTTAATCCAGACAATGCAGACAATGCAGTTTTGCCTCTAAGAAACCAGGCTTATGGGTTTCTAATACAAAGCAGTAAACCAAATACACAAGGTTCATTAATAAGCAGATACTACAATAGTCCAAAGGTGGCAATTTGGCCCTCCCACTCTGTTACTATTTGGCATGTAACTCAAAAATAATGACCCTGTTCTGTTGAAGTACTCCACTTCCAGGGTTCTGCAATTCTTGCAATCAATCATATTTTAGTTCAAAATGGACTTAATGTTGAATTTGAATTACGGGTTATACTCAATTAATTCTGTACTTGTACAAACTCATATAATCAAGCATTAGGAGTTTACATAAGAGGATGTTGATTGAAATAAATAGTGCTGGAGGCTAGCCTTCCGCTAATGGCCATGCAAATCAGAGGCTAATGGAGCTTGGCAAGTTTAATCTAAGACAAGGAGTGGGGTGACTTAGATTTTATCGTTAGAACTATCCTCTTCTCACTGATGATTTTTCAAGTTGTTCATTATTTCTGTTTTGGTAAGATGGCAATTTCAATGGTTCTTTGCAACTTATTTAGAGTCCTTGAGGCTTAAAGCAGCTCACAAACATTTCATTTTATGTCACTACCTCCGGGTAAATGAGTCAGCCAAGGTGACAGAGCAGTCAGATACCCCAGGTCAGGGTTGGCAAACATATTTTGTAAAGAACCAGATAGTAAATACTTAAGGATTTTCATGTCATATATGGTCTCTGTTTTATATATATATTTCCAACTCTTAAAAAAATACATATATATATTTACTTATTTATATTTTCCAACTGTTAAAAAATGTAAAAATCTATTCACCATTCTTAGCTTGCTGGGTTCTACACTAAGAGGCTGCAGGCAGAATTTAGGCCACAGGGCCAACCCCTGCCCCAGACTAATGTAGCTGGATATGTACTACAGTGAAGAATAATTCTTTAAAAGAAGCTAAATATAAAACTACTTAAATCAACTCTTTCAAAAGCGCTGAAAAAAATGTAGACCATAATTTTTTTTTTTTTTTTTTTTGCGGTATGCGGGCCTTTCACTGTTGTGGCCTCTCCCGTTGCGGAGCACAGGCTCCAGACGCGCAGGCTTATCAGCCATGGCTCACGGGCCCAGCCGCTCCGCGGCATGTTGGATCCTCCCGGACCAGGGCACGAACCCGTGTCCCCTGCATCGGCAGGCGGACTCTCAACCACTGCGCCACCAGGGAAGCCCAACCATAATTATTTAAAGTTATAGACATGTATATATATACTTGAATAAGTTGCTTTACTGGGTATATCAGATGTTGAGAGAGGAGAGTTGTGTTCTGCATAAGTCATGGGAGCAGCCTAGCATGAGTCAGAATGTAAGTGAGGTGAGGAGGGCATCTGTGTAAGACTGGAGATGGGGGACTGGTTATATTGAGGGGGTTGATTAAATGAGTAACTATGTTAAGGATAAAGCCATCCAAGTATCAGAAGAGAACTACAGATATGGAAAGGAATAAAACCAGAATGAACCCTGAAGTTTTCAATGCGTATGGATACATAAAGAAATAGATATAAATGTAAATTAAGTACATACACACACACGCACACACACACCTATATATACCTTCCCTAGCTCTGTCTACTGAGAGGCTGGGAGCAGCAAAACCTTAGCAACGCTGAACAGACCTAGTGCTCAGATCGTGGCTTCTTACTGTCATTCTCCACTGAAAGAAACCAAGGCTCCTTGGAGAAATATTTGATTCTAGAACTGAGGCAGGGAATATATTAGTCTAGAAGATCTTTCTTGTTCCAGAAACAAACAAACAACAAAAGGTCACAGAATGATTAGATCATGTCAGAAAGATCTAGAAACCACTTTGAAAGGATTCCCACTGGACAAATTGGGAATAATTTCAGTGTCAAAATGAATAATGACAGTAACAGAATATTACATTCAGTAAGTTAGGAAATCATGAGTAAATGAAAAGTTTGCTAAAAAAAAGGAAATTTACATGGTTTTAAAGTACCTCCCTACAAAGTACTTATTAATTATAAGGGGGGCTAGGAAGATTTACTTTATAGAAAAAACTCCTGGCAGGTACCACCTTAGTCAGTGATCAAAGTGAACATCATCATTTGTGGGATAAATCTAAATTGTGTGCCACCTAATAGGATGCAATTAGGAAAACATGACATCACTCTTGTGATATTCTCATCAGAAAATATAACCTGAATCTAATCATGAGGAAACATCAGACAAACCTCAACTGAAGGACATTTTACAAAATAACTGCTTTCTAACTCTTCAAAAGCATCAAGGTCATAAAAAGCAAGGAAGAACCGAGAAACAATTCTAGTGTGAAGAAGAATAAAGAGATATGATAGCTAAATGCAGCATGTAATTCTGAGCTAATTCATTTTTCTATACACGACATTATAGGGACAATTAGCAAAACTTGAATGGGGTCTAAGGATTAAATGATAGTAATGTATCAATGTTAATTTTCTTATTTTGATCATTGCATTGGTTATGAGGAGAATGATAACCTTATTTGTAGGAAATACACATAAAAGATGATGGGGCATCAGGCTGACAAATTACTCTCAAGTGGCTCAAAAAAAGGAATTCTTGTCCTGCGCTTCCTGTAATTTTCTAAATATTCTAAAATATAAATAATTTTAAATGATTTCTTATAAATATAAGATATTAAAATGTAAACACAATTAAAATGAGCATTCTAAGATGCTTTCCCATAGGGAGACAGCATGGTGGAGTGGATACAGCATGAATTTTGAAATCTCTAAAATCTGGATTGAAATCTGGTTCAAATATTTAATAGCTGGATGCTTTTGGCCAAGCCACTTCACCACCTTAAATGTGTATGATATTATCTATATTGTAGTGCCATTAAATAAATGTAAAAGATTATATTTAATGGGCCAAATATATTGTCAAGTATATGGAAGATGCTTACTTGAAGCTAACCACAGTAGAGGATAATAGTAGTTAACAGTAGTACTAGTAATAGTAGTAACAATAATAGTATGAGTAGTAGCGGTGACAGTAGTAATGTTGTCAATGACATTATCAGTAATAACAGCAAGTAGTGGTGGTAGCGATAGACAATTTTACTAAGGCAGTGACAGTAGCTGTTGTTGTCATAGATGGCATTATTATCATAATCATCATGGGCCCTCTCTAGGAAGGCTCGCCTGGGTGATCTGCTATGCCAAAGAGCTTCAATAACCATAATCCATCATGGGAAAAGGAGTAGCAGGCAAGAGGATATGTGGAGAACAATCATATGGATGGAAAACACCCTCATTATCAAAGGTGAGTTAATACCCACAAAGAATCCATGATATTTTCACCTAGCGATCCCGCTGTCTTACTAAACATTATAGAAAGACACTTGGTTTCACTCTTGCCCCCGCCAACCTCCACTCCCGGGCACACAGACATGTAATTCTTATACCCCCTATCAGGCACACCCACGTCCTTATCCTCTGTGGCTTGCTCTGTCTTCAGAGTATTGTATATGTCAGGAGACATATCTGTGCTGAAGCCAGTTAAGAACCTTGAAATCTCCACAATAGGTCAGTACAGGATTCTTCATATTCTTGGTCTGATTTCCTACCATAATTATACTAATATATAAAGTCTCAATACTCAAGACAGATTTATATGCCTCATAACTCCTTATCTAGACTTTAAACTCTAACATGTAGTGTCTCACATTCCTTTCTTAACCTCTGGGGTTCAATACCTTGTGTTGCAGGGAATGGACCCTCTGCCAATGTTGCTTGTATATAATAATCTTAGTCTAAAAGACCTTTCCAGAGATCATCTCTCTACTTAGTGCTAGAGGTACAGTACTGTCCAGGTCCCTGTTTGAAAGTCTATTTGTAAGTATCTCCACCTATGCTGAATTTAGGCCTCATCTCCCCTATTGTTTTCTGCAACACTTCTGGATATGTGCAGTTAAGTCTCCCAGACACAGACTCAATCTCCTACCTGTTCCTGAAGAATTCTTGACTACATCAGGGAATATACCAAATGCCTCACTCCCTCTGTCTGAAAAGCCTTGGAAGTAAGACTCTCAGGTAAACGATTGATCTAGTCATGGTTGTTGGGCTTCCCTATTGCTCCCCCAATATCTTTGCTGTGAAGAAACCTATGACCAAAGCTGCAGATACATTCCCTGTGAGGCTGTGCATCGTTGCACCCCTTCTCTTCTCTTTCCTGCCCCCCGTGTTGGCTTAGTCCAAAGGCTTAGATTTGCTGTGGGTCCTGCTCTTTACTTCTGGCCAGAGCTCAATCTCGTAGTTGGAGCGCTCTGATTTTCTCTTGTGCCAGCCCTTTCCATCCGAGAAAAGATTGCTGACCTGTGCATAGTCCAAGCTGCTGTTCAGCACACTGCTACCTCAGGACAAATATTTTGAAGTAAAACAGCCTTCCCAGCATAAAAAGTAAAATATATTTGAAATGGGGTCTGAATTAGGCCCCTTCATTAGTGTTTGGTGCACATGTGGTCCTCTTTTGGGACCCCCCTATAGAAGATTCTTCTCACCAGCCCCTAATCTGCTGGGTCCCACCTTCCTTATCCTTCCTAATCTCTTGTTTGTTTGTTTTTTTGTTTTTTGCGGTAAGTGGGCCTCTCACAGTTGTGGCCTCTCCCGTTGTGGAGCACAGGCTCCGGACGCGCAGGCTCAGCGGCCATGGCTCACGGGCCCAGCCGCCCCGTGGCATGTGGGATCTTCCCGGACCGGGGCACAAACCCATGTCCCCTGTATTGGCAGGCGGACCCCCAACCACTGCGCCACCAGGAAAGCCCCTTCCTGCTTTCTTGCTTGCTGCTTCTTGAGCTCACACCTCCCTGAGTTACTGCAGTTGCAGGCAAATCAGTCCTCCCAGCCCTCACTTTGCCTTGATTCTTCATTTTAAGGGACATCCTGGCACCAAATAATATTCCATCTGCCAAGTGTTCCTTTTGGTGGCCTTACACTGCTTATGGAAGCTGCTAAGATGCTATATTTGAGTCCCTCCCAGGGTTCTAAAACACAGTTAAGAGCAGAGTTTTGGAGTTAAATCCTTACCTTGATTCTAATTCTGGGCAAGTTATTTAACTTCACTGAGCATGACGGGCATAATACGAGGATAATGTATAGATACAGTGGGGATGACAATTCACGCATCACAAAGTTGTTAAGTACTGATATCGATAGCTGTGTATCAAGTGTCACTGTGTGAGGGCACCGTGTTAAATGCTTTACGTATATTATTTCTGATTCTTAGAGTTATATTGCCTGGTGTCCTGCGTTCTCATTTTAAGATGAGGAAATTGAGGCTCCGCGTGGTTAAGTAATTTGCCACACTAAGCAAATGGTAGAGCTGGAATTCAGTTCCAAGGTTTGGCTGACTCTTAAGCTGGCATGTTTCACTACTGTGCCATCTCTGATGGAAAGCTTTTTCTCCAAAGAAACAAAGAGACACATTTCTCTGTGGCATTTCCTGTTTTCCTATTTCAAACATCTTTTTAGTTGCTGAAGAGTTGCCAGGATCAAAGACATAATTTATGTATTGAACTGCTGCAGGCTGGAAAAAAAATGCATTTTATCATGTTTAATCCTTTAACTCATTCACTACAGGAATTTAAACACTTCTAGTGAGGTGGCAATAGACATATTTTAATGAGAAGTAATATACACTGGACATCGGTGGGGCTGAAGGACACGTGGACAGAAATGATCAAGTCCTAAGGATCCTAGCCTATAATGTACCAGGTGCTGCAGAAAATAGTAAGGGGAAGAATTTACATGTTTGAGATCTGAGGAAAGGAAGTCTCACCTGTGTGCTGGAAACCTCTCAGGGTAGTGTTTACTGACTGTCTCTTTAAACTTGGTCCTTTAAGTATTTCTCTATCTCAACCTCTTTGGTTTCCTTGATAGCAATTTTTATACTTATATTTTTACATTTTCTTTACTTTTTTCAATCTCCTTCTCTGGAATGTATGTTCTCTAAAGACCAGGATCATGTTGCACAGTGACTGCTCAGTAAATGTGTCCTATTATGTAAAAGAATCTGAAAAAGAATATATATGTATAGCTGAATCACTGTGCTGTACACCTGCAACTAACACAACATTGTAAATCAACTATACTTCAAAACAAACAAAAATGTTGACCGGGTGGTGCTGCGAAGCCTCTGTTAGCCAGTCACCAGCGGTCCACACAGCGGTCCCCAGTGGACCCCACAGGCAGGCCATCACTGTAGCCCCGAAGGGCGTGCCTAACTGCACATGCTCAGAGACCACCTCTTCCTAGGAAACGGGGCATCCGCTCGCCCGTCACCCGACGCATGCAGGTCGCACGTCGGGAGAACCTGGTACAAAACCATTCGTAGAGGACCTGCCCGGGGACGCTGGATGCTGCGTGGACTGGAGAAGGAGGGCCAGTGCGGTGAGCCTTGAGGCCTAGGGCAAGGGCCTGGTGGAGCAGTAGAATTAAAAATAATGATAATTGTTGAATGAATATGCCAAAAGGCCAAACAAGATCCCCTCTCTTTGTGAGATCTACATCAGGTACTGCCAGACTGAAATCCACATACCAGTACAGGGGTCACCAGGCAAGACAATATAATGCATGACAGTTTGTTTTTATCAACACTCCCTCTGTACACTTCCCATCATAGAAACGGGCTTAGAAAGAGGATGTGCTGGCATCTCACCCACAAGGACAGTCAGGAAGGAAAACAGGAACAGGTGGTGCTGAAGAAATGGGACTGCAGAAGTCGTTGACTCTGGCACAGGTGACCAGGCAGTCCAGGGCAAGCAGTTCAAAGGTTGTGGACCATTGAGCAGATGTTTTCTTTTTCCATAAAGGTTCAATGTCATAGGCTTCAGGGAGGTGTAGGCTGTGTAATACTGAGTCAGGTGCTGTCATACTGGGGACTTGGCCCAGGGGTGGCTCATCTTGGCAAAGAGTCAGGACTCAGAATGTTCCAACATTTGAAGGAGGAGACCTGTAAGAACTAGGCAGTATCAGTTTGCCTGTGAATTTCTGTGGGTTATCAGCATCCACGGGCAGCATACCATACACCATACCTGACCCTTTAAATCATGTTACAGAATCTGGGTGCCTAGGAAAATATTCACAACAAAGGACTGAGAGATAAAAAGAATTAAGCAACTATATGTACCATGTGAGGCAAAATATCTCTATCTCTGTATTTTTATCTACACCTATATATGCAGAGGAAAAGAACAGATTGGGAAGAAATACATGAAGATGTTATTAGTGATTATCTCCAGGTGGTAGAATCTCAGGTGATATATAGTTTCATCTGTATGTTTTCCAAGTCTTCTCCAGTTAACATGAATTACTTACAAGAAAGAAAAAATTAAATGTGAAAAAAAAACAGAGAAAGACTCCTCTAGGCAGAATAAATCTAAATAAATCAGAGACTGTGCGGGTAACTCTTCTCATGTTTCTGTTTCTCGTCCAGGGGAATGGCCTTCCTGGATATTCTTTGAAGTACAGACTGTGGTGCCTTCCCTGGCTGGGAGGCACCAATTACCCGCCCTGCTGGCTCAAGACTCCACCTTTTTGCTCACGGGTCGAACTTCTTGCTTCTCACAATATGTGATGATGGGGGTGTTCCTCTCCTGTTTTTCTCTTTACCCAGCATTCGGTGGTGGTGGACACAATAGGCCTGAGCTTCAGCTTTGTTCAAAGACAAAGAATTAGGCAGGGAAACTGAGGCAGGTATTACACTTTGGCAATGCCCCCTCCCCCATCTCTGGTACACTACATGTCGGAGACCTTGAAGTGCAAACCCTTTAATTAACAGCCCCATGGCAGCTCCACAGGCTCCTACATGTGTGGTGGAGTAGATGCTAGGATTGGGTGCATATTTGAAGAATCAAATATTGAATCTGTCAGTTTATTGCAAAAATTGCAATGGCTGGTTTAGAACCAAGGATGAGCCTAGACCTGCAGTTTTTCATGAAGCTGGAAAAAGCAAAGAGGGTGATTTATTCCTCTAGTGTTTAGTCTCTCCCTGTCAATCCCTGGTTGCCCTTCACTCTTATTTTCCGAATTATACCTACCCTTCCTACCTCACAAGAGAGCCGGTTTGTCACATTTTCCTCTTAATTAAAATGTACAAGTCCTATATTTTACTCTCTCAGATCCCCTGCTAGGTAACTGATTTAACTGATTACTTGAATCCAAGTTGAGGTGTTGATAGCTGATAAGCACTAGATGTGTTAGATTGTTAATGTGTATGCTGATAACATTGGCATTTCTCCAGTGACCTTCAGAACCTTAGATCTA